GGAACAGAGGTCTGAATGGTACAGGAAGGCAGGAGTTTGATATTTCCAGGGAGGTGCTCTGCAGATGAGGTAGCAAGACATTTCATTAGAAGTGGATGGGGGAAGAAGATTGCTATGGGGAAGGGTACTCTGAAGAGGCATCTTAGTCAGCTTATGCTGGGGTAAGGATGGCTTATTGATCACAGTTCTAGAAGCCAGGAATCCACAATTAAGGTGCCAGCAGCTGCTATTCCTGACTTGCAAACAGATAGCCACTATTTCACGTGGCGGGCGGGGGGGGGGGGAAGGAAAGAGAGTCTTAGAGATAAGCAGAGAAATCTTATAAGGACACCAGTTCTAAAGGATTAGGGCCCTACCTTTATGACCTCACTTAACCTTAATTACTTCCTGAAAATTAAATATCTAAATATAGTCACATTCTGAGGTACTGAAGGTTCAAGTTTATAATGGTTTGGGTATGACTTGAATGTGTCCTCTCCCTCCCCCCTCCTCCCCAGGTCCACATGTTGGAGGTTGGTGCCCAAAGCAGCCTTATGGAAGGTGAGGGATCTTTTAAGAGGTGGGGCCTAACAAAATGTAACTAGACCTGCTTTTAGACATGATTGATGTAATTACCAATTTCTTGGGGGTTCTATGCAGTAGTTCCTGTGAGAGAGGTTGTTATAAAGAGCAGGACTAGTCTGACCTAGTGCTGTAGCTTCCTGTTTTGCCACATGATCTCATCTCCCCATCTCTCATGTGCTCCCTGGATTGTGCCATCTTCCATGTTCCCCCAAAGCCCTCTTTAGAGGTTAAATAGAGAGGGCTGGCCTTGAGCCTCCAAAACTGATCTAAATAAACCTCCCTTCTTTTTAAAGCCTTGAGTATTCTGTGAAAAGAATGCAAAGGTTCAGTATATGAATTGGGAGGAGTGGACACAAAATGAAATGGGACTTCTGTCCCACCCATGCCCTGTCTTGACCATCTTCTGCCTCAAAGCAGGAGGCGAATAGAAAGCAGGAATTGGAGACCAGAGAGAAGACTGATTTGTAAGCATGCAGTGTTTCTGTCCGGGGCACAGTGGACTGGCAAACAGTTATGGGTGAAGGAGCTGGAAGGGGAGGGTCTGTGATGAGGCCCGGGACACAGGGAAGGTGGGGCCTGTGCACACAGCAGGACTGCTCATGTTGTCAAGAGATGGTTGTGCCCAAGTGTTCACCAACAGATGACCAGATAAACACCAGGTGGCTGGTCCAGCCAGTGCAGAATTATTCAGCCACAAAAATGAATGCAGTTCTCGTCCATGCTACAGCATGGGTGAACCTGGAGAGCATTGTTTATTGTGAGTAAAAAAGCCAGAGACAGAGAAGAAACGTTGATTCATTGACAGGAAATGTCCACAATAGGCTAATCCAAAGAGAAAGCAGATGAGTGGTTGCCAGGAGCTGAGGTTGGGGGAAAGACATGGGAAATGATCGCTCATGGGAATAGATTCCTTTTTGAGGTGATGGGAATGTTTGGGAACTACATAGAGGTGGTGGTGGTTGCAAGAACTACTGAGATTTGTGTGTGTGTGTGTGCATGCGCACTGGTCCTATCACCTGAACTCAGGGCCTGGGCACTGTCCCTGGACTTTTTTTGCTCTAGGCTAGTACTCCTCCCAGAAGCCAGCTTCTGCTTCCTGTAGCACTGTAGTTGGCGAAGGGCCAACACTAGGATGATGGTGACCGGCCCTCCTAACAGCCATTCTGTGGCTTTGGTGCCCACCATTCTCTTCTTTCTGGCTTTGAATGGGGAATGCTAGGGATAGAACTCAGGGCCTTAGGCAAGTGCTCTACCACTGACTTACACCCAGTCTCATTATTCAAATCAATGGATTGGCAGTAGGCCATATGCCATACGCCTAGCAGGCAAGGATGTTCCTGCTTGTCCTGATTACTGGTCTGTGGGCTACCAGATCCCTTCCCTTCCTCAGTGTCACAGGATTGTAGCCTGCATACTACATCTGCCCAAGCCTCGGCCAGTGGGCTTCTGATTGGGGATTGGACAGCAAGGTTTCTAGGCTTGGCAGTGTTTTTAGTAGTGGCCACAGCAGGGAGCAACAGACACAACTAGCTGTGCCTCAGGCAGTGAGCTTCTCTACTGGGTACCCTCAGCCCTGCTGTGGTCACACTTCCTGTCCCTTCAGTCTCTGTTGTAAAGACAGCTTCCTGTGTTACCAATTAAAGGATAATCTCACCTTTTCACTTCTATTTTGCTTCCAAGTTTCCACAGCCAATCCCTTACACCAAAATTCTCTCTGTTTGAAGCACCTGGGAAGTCTCCACTTCTGCTTCTGTAATTAGCTGATATTGTTCCTGGCAGCAGGAGCGACTTCCTAGCAAACAGTCCCTCAAAGCTGGGAACCTGAGTATCTGGCTGGCACTCATGAATTACTTCATTATTAGGAGGGATAATGGGTACCTTAAAGCTTGGAGTATTCAGTGCTGCTATGGTTCAAATGTGTCTCTCAAAGGTTAGGTGCTAGCCAGGCATGGGTGGCTCACACCTATAATCCTAGCTACTCAGGAGGCTACCATCTGAGGACTGCAGTTTGAAGTCAGCCTGGGTAGGAAAGACCATGAGATTCTCCAACTCAACAGCAGAAAATTGGAAGCGGTGCTATGGCTCCAAGTGATAGAGTGCTAGCCTTGAGCAAAAGAGCTAAGGGACAGTGCCTGGGCCCTGAGTTCAATCACACAATGGAAAAAAAAAAGTTATGTTATGGACACTTAGTTTCCAATAGACATTTAGTTTCAGCACTGATAAATGTTGAGAGACCTTTAAGGTAGGACTCTCTTTAAGGTAGGGCTCTGCCTTCAGGGATGGGTTAATGTCATTATTGCAGGAATGGCCCACTTGTGAAGATGAGTTTGTCTCCCTCTCTCTTGCATGCACATGCCTTCTTGCTTTTCTGCCATTCCTCATGGGATGATGCAGCAAGAGCCATGTTGGCTCATTGGCCTTTCCAGCCTCTACAACTGCAAGATCTCTATCTCTGTTCTTTGTAAATCAGTCAATCTCAAGGATTCTGCTGTGACAGCATAAAATGGACCAAGTGGCAAACCCAGTACTAATAAGTGAACTCTGTGTGTGTGTATGTGTGTGCTGGTTCTGGAGCTTGACCTCAAGGGCCTGGCTGCTGTCCCTTAGCTCAAGGCTGGCATTCTGGCACTCTACCATTAAGCTACAGCTCCACTTACAGCTTTTTGATGATTAATTGAAGATACAAGTCTCATGGAGTTTCCTATCTAGGCTGGCTTTGAACTGCATTTCTCAGATCTCAACCTCCCGAGTAATTAGGATTACAGGGATGAGCCACCAGCTCCTGACAGTGAAATGTCCTTTGAAAGCAAAGCCCAAGAGCCTGCATGGTGACTGACTACAATTGTAGTCCTGGGGCCAACACCTAGTGTGATCCTGGAGTGGCTGATGGTTGCCAACCACCATAGACATTCAGCAGGAAGAATATGATCACTCATTTTGCCCGAGGCACCAACAGAAAGCCAGAGAGCATCTTTGACAACCAGAAAAGCATCTTTAATATCTTGTAGCCCTAGGATGGATACAACTGAAAACACAATACTAAATTCAATCCTGCAGGCCGTGGGTTACAGTACAAGTTGAATCCACAACCTTACTGGATCTTTTATGTGAATGTTAGGCATTGATCTGGAAGGAGTGGGACCCTGAGAATATTAAAGGGATATATGGGTGGACTTGAACCAACTCAAGTCCTGAGCTGAGGACAGTGTATGTGGCCAGGTGGTCCACAAATCTCCATGTATGGCCTCAGTTTTAGAGTGTCACCCAGCCTCCTCCATGATGGAAAGGTATTCCAGATAAGCCATACACTTAGCTCAAGACAGAGCCCCCACCCTAATCTTCTAAATGAGCAAGGAAGTTGTAAGTCTGATCTATTTATTGCTTTCTGAGACCATGTCACCACAAGCCAGCCCAGCACTAGAAAGGACAGGAACTGGTTTTGGATCCTGGTCCCTCAGGCTGTGTGGGCCATAGGCTAATGACTCCTGTTACTCTGACCCTCATCTATCAAAGAGGCCTAATAACTGCTCTGTCCTGGGACTGCGGGGAAAATTGAAAGGAGTAAGGAAGACCAGCTCACTGCTGTGTCTCTTCCTATTTTGGTAGGTGGAAAGTGTTGTGGCCCTCAGCCTGTGCCAGATTCCTGCCTGCTTTTCCAGGTGTTTGCCAAGGTCAGGCCCCAATCTCCTAGCTCTGGGCCAGAAATCCCAGAAGGACTAACTCACTCACTAACTCGGACTTTTGCGTCTGTGTGATATCTGGCCTCTTCCTAAGAATCTCTATAAAGCTGTCATTCAGGGGCTGTAGTGTGGCCTGGAAGGTGGGGAGGTGTAGGTGGGCCATGGTAGGGAATCCAGGATGGCTCAAATGGGCTACAGATGACAAAGTCACGGGAGATCAGTGTTGGAATCCTGACACCAGCAGCAGCAGCACTGTGCTGGGAGACCTGAGCTGGGCCCTAGTCAATGCCTCAGAGGCTCATCTTCTCTGGAGTGTGGCTGTCCCCAGCAATGCAGGCGGCATGACAATGAGAAAAGGGCTGACACCCAAAGGGCACAATGAGGGACCCCTCCAGGTGGCTGGTCTGCCCTTCCTTCCTTCCCCTGGGGCTCTATGTCTGTCCTTATACCTCAGCCTCTCACCAGCTAAAACAGGATAAGGGACATGTATGTCATGCGATGTTTGTCTGAGAAATGACCAGGGAGCCCAGACACCAGTGGGGGTGGGTCCTGAGTAGGAAAGGCACGTGAGTTATCACCTAAGAAGACTAGGGAGAGAATAGAACACCTCATCTGCTTGGGGGGGGGGATCGTGTCCCTCTGCCCTGCATTTACCAGGACCCCGAGTGACCAGCACCTGACCACGGACTCCTGGAGTGTTTCAGGATAGAGAGGGGCTAAGACAGGAGGCCAGGCAGATTGCGGGGGGGTGGGGTGGGGGGGGCGGGTAGCACCAGAGGGACCAGGTTGGGCAGTGTGGGCTGAGATGGGGCTGGGCTCCAGGGTGACCAGGACTTGTGGTTACTGCCACTTCAATAACCAGATCAGGCCAGCACAGCCCTGTGGAGCCCCCAGAATGGTATCAGTGGGACTTTAAGGCAGCCGAGGCGGTGAGGATGTCTAGGTCACCCCCGCAGGAACTTGGGACAAACCCACTGAGGAAGCCCCTGCTGCTTTTCCCAGGCCCAAGGTCCCTTCTTCAAGTACTGTGTTATGGACGCAGGCCCACCACAGGAGTCACCTGTGGTCAGAACCCAGCATGCAATCTCAGGTTTGGGGGGACAGTCGGGCTAGGCTAGGATGCAGTGGGGTGCTTGGGAAGGCAACCATGCTGGCCCAAGCCAGTGACTCACAGTGGTGGGGCTCAGGGACCCACAGGCCTCTTGGTGCAGATCTGGGTGTGGGAGGGTATCTGTGCAGGTGTATGGGCCCCTGAGTGGCTATAGCTGGGGAGAGAGTGGGGGTCTTGAAGCTGAGATTGGAGAGTGAGGAGGTGAGTGGAAACGTCACTTCCAGGCTAACCCAACACCAAAGAGAGGGGTTACCATGGAGGTTTGGATGACAATGGACCTCCCTCCTACCCCTAGTCCCAAGGTGACCCGAGAAAGCCCAGATAGGCAACAGCAAAAAGGCCAGAGGTCCTGGGGTATGCCACTCCCCAGGTGACCAGTATCCCAGCATCTACTTCCCTGAGCCCCTGTACTGGGAGAGGGAGACATAGGATGTCCCAGCAGCCTCTGGGAACAAGAGCCCAGCCTCGGGTGCCCTCAATCTTGGAAGGTGTAATTCACCCCCAGGGATTGACTACTGGTACTGCAACCTGTAAGGGACCTTAGCTCCTGGGGTCCTCTGCCAGCCCTTGAGAGCAGGATCAGATTTGACCTCTATAGGGGGCAGGGCACGAGGTCAGACCTCAGAGACCTGAGCAGCCTCTACAGAGACACCACTAGGCCCCGCTGGGCAGGTCCCATAGCACCAAGGTGAGTTTGGTGCATTGCCCAGGTTGTCACCAAGGGCAGTGGGTAGGAGAAGGGTCTGAAGTCAAGTCAGGGAACAGAATGTGCTCGCCACAGGTGCTCTAACATCTGATGGTAGCAAAGAGATCCCTTGGGCTGACATGCTTCTTCCTTTTGGGTGATGCAAGATGGTGCGTCTCCCTCCCTCTCCCAGTTCCAAGGCAATCCCGCTGAGAAAACCCAGGTAGGGATGGCCAAAAGAAAAAAAAAAAAAAACAGCCAGAGAATGCAGGGATGCTGCAATGCCTGTCAGGCCCAGAGGGAGCTGGGACAGGGACCAAGGTTTCCTACAGAGCTGATACAGAAGATGGTAATAGATGACGGTACCAAGGAAAGGAAGACATTCACTGCCCCCTAGTCTGTCTCCACCTCCTGCACATGTGTTCACGTATGTTCATGTGTATGTTGAGCCAGAGCTCCGTCCACTACTTTATCTCCCATGTGAGGGAGTGTCACCCTCCGCCATGTCTACACTGCTGGGCCAGGGCACTGAGGTCTGAGAAGAAGAGGCAGCGCTGGCGCAGGTGAAGCTCGGCGCTACCACCCTTGGAGTTGGCACACGAGGTTTTCTTGTTGCTCCTCTTGGCTCCAGTGAGAGCATCCTCCTCACTTGTAGGAAAGACACAGCCCAGGAAGTGGTGCCCGGGCCCCACCCTGGCCTCTGCTGATCAAGGAGCAGGGATCCTGCTTGGCCAGGGCAGAAGGCCTCTGAGAAGCTCTGTAGGGACCACAGCTGCTGGCCTGCAATTTGCCTGGGTCCCTGGATCGCTCTGAATCCTTTGCCAGCAGCCCCAGGAACCCAGATATAGGTCTGCAGCTGACCGTCCTTACAAAAATAACTCTGAGCCTGGTCCCAGGGGGAGCAGGGTCCTGAGAGCACACAGCTGGGTGGGGTCCGTGTGGAAGGCCAGCAGGGGGCGCTCCCGCCTGCCAGGGTCATGGCTGCAGGCGTTCCAAGTACTGCGGCAGTGGGTTCTCCTTGACGTACTTCTGGATGTACCAGCAGGTGAGGTGGGCCTTCAGGTCCTCCTCCACCACAAAGTCCAGGGCAGCCTGGGACCAGGCAGAAGGAGAGCAACCATCAGAATCTAAAGCCTGCACCCAGGGGCTACACTGCCCAGCTTGAGCTGGGGGCCGCGGTTGGACCCCTCTGCAGCCTCCAGGCTCCATGGCTGACCACTCTCCCACTTTGTCTGGGCCAGTGCCTGAGGTTCACCCCCTGGGAATTCAGGATGACTCCACAGATATGGGGCTTTGCAGATATCAGCTTTGCAGCGAGGCTCAGAAAGTATTACAGAAGGATAAAGGAGCAGGGGCTGTGGTGGGGATACAGTCAGTGGAGGCTGCTGACCAGCCATGGGGACACTGAAGGTCTTATCTGCTGCAGGTATAATCATCATGACACCCCAACCTGCTAACCAGGCAACTAAAGGTTTGATAGGCTTCAGAGAAGAAAAGGGGTTGGGACAGGAATGGAGCACATACCCACTGACCAGAACATTCATCTGTCTGGAGCCCCAGGGCAGTCAGGCTGTGGTGGACCTACAGGTCTGGCTGTACCAGACTGTATCAATCAGGGGCCAGTAGCTAGAAACTAGGGAAAGCAAGGAGGCTGTTCAGTGCCCACCTACTGCTTGCTACAACCGATTGACTAGCCAGGTTTGAGGGGCTGAGCTCTGGCCAAGAAGCAAGCTGGAATCAACTCTGGAACTCTTGTCTTAAGAAGGAGTGTGGGGGCTAGGCAGGTGACTCAGTGGTACAGTGAGGGAAGAAGAGCTGAGGGACAGTGCTCAGAAAAGGCCAGAAATGGCGCTGTGGCTCAAGTGGTAGAGCGCTAGCCTTGAGCTGAAGAGCTGAGGGACAGTGCCCAGGCCCAGAGTTCAGGCCCTGCGACTGGCAAAAAAATGAAAAATAAAAAGGAGTGTGGCAGCCCTTGACCATGTCTGCTGCTCACCTACCTTGGCCAGGTGCTTGGCGATGCCACGCCCGCGGTAGGCATCAGGGACCTCCGTGTGCTGCAGGTCTACGATCCGCTTGCCTACATACTCGTACAGAAGGACGGCCCGGTCATGGCATCCTGAAGGATCAACGACAGAGACCACTGAGGTGTAGACTCCAGGGGCAAAGACTCTGTGGGTCCCAGAGAAGCCAGATGTAGAGGCCTGGGTGGAGGGACAGGCATCTAGAGCCAGACTACTGGAGCAGTACTGTAGCTGAATGCTGAATAACCTCTCTGTGCCTCAATTTGCTCATCCATAAAAGTGAGGATATGAGCAAATATCCCGCAGAGGGCTGTGACATGCTCAGCACACAAGCCCTCTCTATCCCATGGAGGACATCCACCTCCTCCCAAGACTGGAGTGTTGTGAAGTCCATCTGGGGACACAGAGCAGGGCATAGCAAATCTATAAGAACAGAGAAGGATGAGACCATCACCAGATGCAGCTAGACCCCTGCTGGATCCTGTCTGAGATGAGCTTCCTCCCAGACCTGAAGGAAGCTCACTAGTCCACCCTAAATCCTGCTGGGATTTAACTGAAGTTGCTCAATCACAATTTTGATTCTCCACTTCTCTGTACGCCTAACCACCCACCTATCCATCTACCTACTCACCTACCCCTCCACCCATTCAACTATCCATCCTTCTATTCACATACCTACCCACTCACTAGTTTTATCTAATCATCCATTCAACTATCCATCTAGCTGCTCATCCACCCATTGATCCATTCAATGATCCATCCATCCATCCATCTATCCATTCATCCATCCATCCAATGTTTACTAAGCCCAGGCAGTGTTCAAGTGCTAGGCATGGAGTCAGGAGGAAAATGAACAGGAGATATGCCATAACTGACTAAGAGTGATAAACAAGAGCACTTAATATGTCAGGGGACAGTGGAGGCTTGTGGGCAATGCTGGGTCGGGGGAGATGTCCAGGAGCAAGAACAACCATGCAGGGGCTGGGAAGGTGGCTCAGTGGTGGAGTGCTTGCCCTGCATGCATGAGGCCCTGGGTTCGATTCCTCAGCACCACATAAGCAGAAAAAGCCCGAAGTGGCGCTGTGGCTCAAGTGGTAGAGTACTAGCCTTGAGCTGAAGAGCTCAGGGGTGGTACCCAGGCCTAGTTCAGGTCCCAGGACCACCACCACCAACAACAAAACAACAACTACGCAAAGGCTCTGGGCCAGGGTGGCTGTAGTGGAGCAGGGTAGAAGATGGGAAGGGACTGCCATTGTAAGTGGTGTGTGTGGGTTCTACAGGAGGGTCCTCAGCAGAAGAGAGGCAGGAGAGTGGCTCTATGGGGGAGACAGCCTGGAGAGAGGCAGGGAGCCCAGTGGGTGGTGTGAGGGGGTGGGGTGGGGACAATCAGTTGTTCTGATGAGTGATGGAAAGAGCAGAGGACAGTTCCAAAAATGTTCCAGGCAGGACCTGCTGGTGGTTTAGATGTGCACAGAAAGAAGTCAAGGCAAACCTGAGGGTTCTCCAAATGGAGGGAGCTGTGTGTGTACGAAGGAAATAAGCTGGGGGGCCCAGGGCCATGTGGCCAGGGCAGCAGGGGGGCCTCCCAGGACAGATTCTCTAAGCTGAGAGGTGAAGGATACACAGGAAGCAGCCAAGGGAAGAACAGAGGCGGGACAGGCAAAAGGCTCTGCCTAAGCAAAGGCCCTGAGGTTAGAAGACATGATTCCCTGTCCCTAACAGAAAACACAGCAATGCTGAGTCTTTTTCTTTTCTTTCTTTTTTTTTTTTGCCAGTCCTGGGGCTTGAATTCAGGGCCTGGGCACTGACCCTGAGCTTTTTTGCTCAAGGCTAGCACTCTACCACTTTAGCCATAGCATCACTTCTGGCTTTTTTTTTTTTTTTCTTGTACCAAGGAATCAAACCCAGGGCTTCATGCATGCTAGGCAAGCGCTCTACCACTAAGCCACATTCCTAGCCCCCTTTTTTCTACTTTCTAAAATCAAATTCTATTTAATGTATTTTAATTGTAAAGCAAATTGCATTTCAAGAATTTTAACTTTATTTATTTCCAGTCATAGGGCTTGAACTCTGGGCCTGGGCACTGTCCCTGAGCTTCTTTTGCTCAAGGCTAGCACTCCACCACTTGAGCCACAACACCACTTCTAGCTTTTTGTGTTTATGTGGTACTGAGGAATCAAACCCAGGGCTCCAAACATGCTAGGCAAACGCTCTACCACTAAGCCACATTCCCAGCCCAAGAAATTTAAAGCACCAGAGAATTAGCTCCTACATGTTGCCTGTACTTACAGCCCCTTAGGTCTTGCAAAGGGAAGATTGACAGGCAGAGTCCAACAGCAAATTGGACACCAGAATGGGATCCACCTGGTTAGGAGGCTTTCTGGGTCTTTGGTATCCTTGAGTCTCCTCCAGGCTTCAAGAGGGGAGTCTATGATTCAGCTCCCAAGTTCCAGATGGGCAAACTGAGGCCTGTACAGGGGTGGGGGGTGGTGCTATCTCTACAGGAAGCCCAGCCCAGAGCAGTAGGAGGAATTCAAGGGCAGCTCCAGCTAGTCATGATGCCTGGCCTGTCAGGCTGCCTGCTCTAGGCAGGCATCACAGGATGCTGCAGAGCACTACGGATATTGAGGGCTCCTGTGGGGGCCACTGTGGGTCACGTAGGACCTCACACAGGGACTGAGTGCAGCACTCTGTCTTGCAATTTCTAGAGTGCCAGGGGAGGGCAAAGGCAGCTGCTTACTCTTTGGGCCCCAGCCCTCCTGTCTTCAAAGTGGGAGGATGTAGAAAACCCCAGGTTGTGGAACCTGAGTGACACTTCCTCTTGTAGTAAACGGGACACTTCGCTCTGGCTGAGGTGGGAGAGAACAGGACTGGGACTTTTCCCAGCTTCTTCCAACCTTTAGATGATAACCCTCACAGGGAGGCTGGTGGCTCCATCCTAGCTTAGTTGTGCCGTGGTCTTCCAACCTATAAAATGGTCACAGCACAGCTCGCACTTTAGAATTGGCATGTGGGCTCAGATGAGCCCGAGCTGGAGCCTCCTCTCACACACTGTGTCACCAAGTCCTAGCCATGCTTCCTGCCATGTCTGTCCAGAACCTGGACCTTTCCCCCCAACTCTACTCACATTACTTGGATTCCTGCAGTGACCACTCTCTGCCCTATCCTGCCAGACCCCCCCTCAGCACAGCCAGAAGGAGCTGGGGCTACGCCTCTGTTCTCTGCTTGGGACCCTTGAGGGAACCTAGCTTGCAAAGAGGTTAAAGCCAGATTCACACAAGTTCACACTAACTTCACCTCCTAGCTTCATCTCTCTATCTGGAAAGGATCCTTGCTGGTCTGAGTGCTCACTAGTTACCCCAGGGCCTTTGCTCTTTCAATTCTCTACTTGGAACATTCATTGCTTAGCTGTTTCTTGCCTCCTCTGGGTCTATACTCACATGCCTCCCCCTTGGGAAGGGGTTTTCTTAGACACCTAAATTCAAACAGCAGCCTGGTCCTAACCCTCTCCCTGCATTACCTCTCACCTGAGTATTTCTGTGACAGTACTGGGGCTCACATTCTTGCTTGGCTTTTCTTGCTCAAGGCTGGCACTCTACCACTTGAACCACATCTCTACTGGCTTTTTTTGGGGGGAGGGCTCTGGTAGTGGGGCCTGAACTCTGGGCCTGGGTGCTGTCCCTCAGCTCTTCAGCTCAAGGCTAGCACTTTACCACTTGAGCCACAGCGCCACTTCCGGCTTTTTTTCTTTTTTGCTTATGTGGTGCTGGGGAACCGAACCCAGGGCCTCATGCATGCAAGGCAAGGGCTCTACCACTGAGCCACCTTCTGGCTTTTTTTTTGTCCCATACTTCTGGCTTTTTTTTTTTTTTTTGTCAGTTGTGGACCTTGAACTCAGAACCTGGGCGCTGTCCCTCAGCTCTTCAGCTCAAGGCTAGTGTTCTACCACTTAAGCCACAGCACCGCTTTCGGTTTTCTGAGTGGTTTATTGGAGATAAGAGTCTCACACTTTCCTGTCTGGGCTGGCTTTGAACCGTGAGCTTCAGATCTCAGCTTCCTGAGTAGCTAGGATTACAGGTATGAGCCACTGGAACCTGGCTCACTTTTGGGTTCTTCATGGTTAATTAAAAATAAAAGTTTTATGGACGTTTCTGTCCAAGCTGGCTTTGAACAGCAATCCTCAGATCCCAGCCTCCTAAGTAGCTAGGATTGCAGATGTGAGCCACCAGCACCTGGTCCTGAGTCTTTATCACTTATTTGTTGACCATCAGCCCTGCAAGTCCCCAGTACCTGGAAGAGTTCAGGCACACGGTGCTCAATAAACACTGTGGACTGAATCCCAGCTCCTCCACCTTGAGATGCAAGGCCTTAGGTGAATCACTCATTTCCTTGTGCCTCAATGTCAACAGGAACTGAAGGGATTGGGTTTCCAGCTTCCACTCCACTCCTTGTGGCAGAGCACAGGGCCTTCTCCAAGTCAAGGGCTTAACCAGTGAAGCAGCTCAAATGTCTCCCCCTACCTCTCCACTCCCCCCCCCTGCTCAGAACCATCAACAGCCTAGCACTGCCTCAGGGACAGCTGGGGGCACATGACTGATTGAAGGCAAAGAATGACAGCCTAAATGTGCTCCTGATTGCTCAAGTTCCTCGGAGCAGTAGAGGTAGCTGCTGCCCTGGAGGTAGGAGCCCCTATCCACACCTGTTCCCTATCTTAGCTCAGCTGGCCAGGCAGAACAGACCACCTGCCTGAGCCCTCAGATACACATCTGCCTGGGTAGCATGGCCTGGAAACTTGGAGGAGGACCTGCCCCGGAGACCAGGGAAGAGCTGCCTGGAGGCTGGGAGGATCCAGGCCACTTTTCTAGTTGGCCACAAGGCAGTGGCTTCCAGAGGGGCAAATGTATAACTATGGTGAGGTTGGAGGGCTGTCCTTTGGCTGCTATCCCTCTCTCCCTCTCTGAGTCCCTCCCTCTCCCCTACTGAGACTAATGGCCTCCAGAGCCACCCAGAATCTCACAATACCTCAGAAGAGGATCTGAAAAGCCACAAGGCCTCCCTCTCTCCACAACAGTGGACAGGGCCCCCAGTATCATTG